GCTAACCGGAGTGAACACGATTCGAATCATTGGCGTAGAAAATTATTTCACAGATGCTAATAATAATTTCGCGTAAATAGTATAATAAATTGTGAATAGCAGTTGAAATTTTTTGGAATTATAATTTGGGATATTACTACTCGCTTAAATAATTATTTCTGACCCATAAATAGATACGATTGCCCGATTCCGCCGATAATAATTTAAGATGTTTGGTATTATTTTTATTTCATGATACGACACTGGCAAACAAACATTATCGCGAAATTCTCGAAGTCTCCGACGGGATTTGACGTTTACCCACTCTCCACCTACCAAAGGCCTTTATTAGCGAGAGATTTAGAGGAAAGCCAGTTGGAAAGATTAAAAATTACAGAAGATAAGTAATATAAGTTAAGTTTGAACGAGAAATGTTAATATTATCTTGGACCTCGAAATAAGGCAAATGTTTTTGAATACAATATTTTTATTAAACCATATAATAATTCCCCACACAGCACACACAACTTACCTTCTTTCTGTTTTTATCGTTAACTAACTAAACTATGTCAATATATACCTAGTTGTCAAAGAATTTCGTCAAATATTCTGCAAAGCCACCTACGTTTTTTTAACTATTGCTATTTACACAAAACTTATGCAGGGTGTTTCATTAAGAATGAGACAGCAAATCTAATGATTCTCTGATTAAAAATAAGCCGAATAAACGAAACATGCTTGAGTAAAAAATAAAAGTTTAAAAATTCATAAATTATTAAAAGCTATATAATTTTTTAATTGCTCAGTATAATTTGATTTCAGGCATTTTAATTCACATCCATAAGGTTCTGAAATTTCGGTGTAATTTTTTTTTACGTGCCTAATGCGGAAATTTTTGCTCACCACGAATATTTTAAGAAAATTATGCCTCGTCTTCGACTCTACTTTGTTATATTATACTCTTTAATATATGGGCGCCGTTCAAAAAATTTCCAAGGGGAAGCAAGTCTTATAGGCAGGGTCAACACGTCGAAAGCCATGGCGACAAATAAAAAATCACAAATTCAGGGGGAGACAGACGCCCTCCTTGCCCTCGTGTGGCGGGGCCCTCGATAGCAGATTTGTTTCAAGCTAATAGGTAGGTACCTAGTACCTATTTTAAGAGGTGTAATAATGAATATACAGGGTGTTTCTTAATTCATGCGACAAAATTCAGGAGGTGATTGCTCGTATGAAATTAATATGGGTCTTTCCTATAACAAAATATCCTCAGCCCACCCCTTTTCGAGATATCACCCTTAAAAGGTGGTGACTAAAATAGTTTTTATTTTTTTTCTAAAATTTCGGTAATGTATTTTAGCTAGAGGTGGTCATTTCCAGCATTTATTATGAATCGTATTACATTTTATATCTTTACTGTTTTTCACTCAATTTATTAAAAAAATTATAAATTATGGTGTTTATTTTTTTTCTCTGCAGCTATTGGTTTTGGGAAAAAATTTAAGAATAAAAAAAAAATTTAAATGAAACAAATATTTTAAGTTATAATTTTATTTCATAAAACTTTCTCTCGAAAAAAGTTTTGATATGAAATAAAGTAAGGGTTGCTAATTTCACCCCCCTATAATGTAACAGGAATATTGAAAAAATACCTGTGGTTAGTACTTTGCGAGTGCACGAAATTACAAAATTTCAAGTTTCTAGGTTAACTGAAATTTTAGAAAAAAAATAAAAACTCCATTTTAGTCACCACTTTTAAGGGTGATATCTCGGAAAGGGGTGTGCTGAGGAAATTTTGTTATAGGAAAGACCCATCTTAATTTCATACGAGCAATCACCTCCTGAATTTTGTCGCATGAATTTAGAACCCTGTATGAATTAAATATAAAGGTCTGTACTGTAAAATTAAAAGAAAGGTCGTAATTACCTATTAACTGCATTTTTTATATTTATAATACATTAATAATTATGATACCTAAAAATTACTCTCAGTTGCAGAATTCACTAGATTTTTTTTTTTTGATTGTCTGACCAGTATCAGAAAGAAAATTTTGAGGTTTCAAGTAGGAACGTCTAATAAAATTTTGTGGTGCAATTTTGCTTGAAAGCTACATTGTCTTTTCCAATTAGTTTTTTCTGTAATGTACTTTTACGAAAAATATGCAATTTAATATGTATCGTATAGTATATCTTATCATAGTGTTCTGTTGTATGTCAATCTCCACCCAATAATTGCCTCGCTGTAAGGTACTAAAATTAAATCCTTAAAAAAATTAAAAAAATTAAAAAAATTAAAAAAATAAAAAAAGAAATAAAAAAATAAAAAATATATAAAAAAAATGTTTCACTGCATATGTTTAGGCCGTTCAGCGACGGGTGGACTTTTTTAAAAATTGGAAAAAATAGCTTAAATCGGAAATATAATTATTTATTTATTTATTTATTCCAGAAACAAACAGGCATGAGCCTAATTACATGTTCCTATAAATACAGCGAAAAGAGAAATCAACAAAAATACATAATATCTAATTAAATATATAAGTGAAATTATAATAAACAAACCTCGCTACTACAAAATTTTAACAAAGTTCATTAAATAACAAAACTACTGAAATAATCAGAAATATTCAGGAATAATCAGAGCGTCTGCAAAACCCCACACCAAGGCCACGGAAATCCTACAAGGTTATGTCTCTTTAATCGAGCCCAACAATTTTGTTAAGTTCCTTTCTATAATATGTGCTTATAGCTACATCAAAAATACCGCAAGAAATGCCTTCGGAGTGTACATTAAACAAAAGACAAATTTTTTCTACTGGACCATGATTATCCACACGAAAAGTTAATTGACGGGGACGAATACCAGCTATTGGAACATTAATTTTTATTTGACTCAATAAATATTGACTGTCCAAATATCCATTTAATAATTTATGTAAAAAGACAAATTTTAAAACTCATTTTGTTCTCTTACTCTAAAACGGCTTAACCTATTTTAATGAAAATGTATATGGGAGTTTAGTATACAGTGACCAACGAGGTGATCAATAAAATGGAATTAGTGCTCCTCCTGCTTCTTTAGCCAATAAAAATTACTTAAGAACAGGACGCTACTGAAATCCTACATCTGTTTTGATGAAATGTTTTTGTCTCATAGTAGGTGAAAGTTTTAATTACTGAGTTATAAGCTTCATAAGGAAGGTCATAATGAAAAACACAAAATTTTTCTATTGATCTCATACCACTGAATATTTGTTAACGATTTTTTTTACTATTTTACATTGTATTATCGATCATCCATGAAGTAAAGAAAAATCGTGAACCATACTCACTGGTTTAAGGTCAATAACAGAAAAATTTCATTGTATTTTTCACTATGATAAAAAAAATCAAAATGGATGTAGGATTTCAGTGGCTTCCTGTTTTTAACTAAATTTCATTGTCTAAAAAAAGTAGGGGGATCAAAGGAGTGCGGAACCCATCTAAAAACCTATAGAATTAAAACAATTTTAAACAGCAGTAACTTTATTTTACTGGTCACTGTATACTAACATTCTGTGGACATTTTCATAAAAATATTTTAGAGGAAGAGTAAACAATCCCTTCTAAAATTTCTACTTTATCATCTTGTAACTTTTTTACTATTTATTTTTAATAAAAGCAGATTGGCTAAAATCGACTTATTCTGGATCCCAGAAACTGTGGTTAAATTTATTGTACATCTTTTTGTTACACACTGTATAACAACTACAATATAAGTATAAATCTCGATAAATTCAACCACATCACTTAATATTTTCAATTCCCGTCTGTTAAAAATAGAATTTTGATAAATATTGAATACTACTTTCAAAAAAATACATTGTGAAACATACCTATAGCTATGCTTTATGCGCTATGCTTAATAACATACAGGGTGGCCTAATTAAAACAGTTCACCTGAAATATTTTCCTAGGAAAAGTTTTTTTGGGAAATCTCCGAGATTGGTCGATTTTGATTTCAAGGGGGACTTCTTTTGGTCTTTAATTCATGGATGTAGGTTCATCACCGGGAACGGGGTGGCAATCTCTTCAAGAATACTAAATGACACGAGGGGTCAAGTGGCAGATCATTTTAAAGGCATTTCAATTCTCTTTTCAAACATGCTGTGTTGAAATAAATCTGAAAAACCTGTTGGGAAAGTTGGTAAAATAATCGAAGAAAAAAGTGTCCAAACAAGTTTTAATTAATCAAAAGTTCAAATTGCGACCCATTTACTTCCATGCAATAATAAAGTCTTTGTTCAATATGTTCCCGAATATTTAGGAGCATTTCTGGGCTTATTTCTCCACACGCTTGCACTATTCGGTGGTGAAGATCTTATCTTATCTTATAGGGATGGAATAGATGCTTTTTAAAAGACTACTAGGTACGTGGAATTTCTAAAGTTGCTGCTACTTTTCTGGTGCTTGAAATAGGATCCAGTTAAACATGACCCAAAATTGCAACCTCTGTAACTTGTTGCCTTTCAATATTTTTGTTAGCATTTAGTTATTAAATTTACTACGTAGGGATGGCTGAGGTTCTTACCAGGATGCCTTTCATTATGACCCCTCGTGCCATTTAGTATTCTTAAAGGGGTGCCATCTTGTTCAGGAGGATGAACCTACATTCATGAATTAAAGATCAGAAAAGTCCACCTTAAAATCAAAATCGATCGGTCTCGGGGATTTCCCAAAAAAAACTTCTTATAAGAAAATATCTTAGGTGGACTGTTTTAATTGAACCACCCTGTACATAACGTACATAGATGTTATTTATAATTCTAATGGAGCATTGATAAATGCAAGTACTTATAACTTTGTAAATTATTTTTTATACATTTTTCTTTTTTAGCTTAGCTTTAATTTTAATTGGTAAATAAATACAATTATTTATAAGTTTGTAAATTTACATAGAGGACATGTAATAAGGTTACAAAACCTGTTTCTTTTCTGTTAAATAAGTAAATTTTTTGTGATAATCACTCTGTATGGGTACAAGCTTATGTTGCGGAAAGTGGGGATCACTTTAACTTCGCCGATCTAAAAATCTAATCGAATTCGAACTCTTATTAGTTTATTATTAATAAAAAAAAATATAGTATTATATTCGGCTTCAAAAAACGACGCATCGTGTACATAAAAAATTAAAGTACCTGTATTAAATGCGTGAAAGTCATCCACGAAGTCTCCGATACTGTGGTTGGCCATCAGTTACCTGAGGTCTCTTTGGTTGTGACTTTCTATGTTATTCTAGTTCGAGATGTGTGCGTTTTAAGTGCAACTTTGTTTCATTTATTTCCTATTTTGAGTATGCATAACGGAGGTAGTACAACGGATGCAAAGGTAAAATTATAATAAATTTGATTACAATACATAATGCAATATCTAAAATAATTCTGTTTTCGTTATCATAAATGCATCACAATATTCCGGAACAAAAATTATTATTTGTGGAAGACTTTTATAAAAATTAAATAGGTACCTAAGTACATATTATAATAATCCTGAAAACATTAAAAAATTAAGGACTATATTGTCAATAGATTTCAAAACTTTTAACTGAAATATTCTAAGAATAATATCATCGTAATCCAAAACCGGGATTGTCTCAATAAAATTATGATAATATATAGTAATAATAAATTGATTATTTACCATAATAAAAAGCTGATGACAGATATGTTTTATAATAATAAATAGTAGTAAACAAATGGTATACAGCGTTAGGTTCAAAAACCAATTCTTCCATACTGGACCGTTGAAAAACAAAATAAAATTTAGTTCAGCTCATTGTTACTGATAGGTAATTCTTGTTTAATTATATACTAAAATATACTAAAATAGTATATTATGCAACGATCAAGTTATTAGCCAATGAGAGTTGCATGCACTATTTTTACTACAACTTTAAATATCTACTTTAACTGAAAACTATTAATTTATTTCATGCATGTTTCAACAACAACAAAAATGTTAACATAAATAAACTATATCTAGCATTATAATTACTATTTTGGTAATGTTTAAGTATTAAACTGTACAATTCTTAAAATTAATTTGTAGTATTTGCTGATTGGGGGAACGTGGCTGGAACCCAAGATTGATTGTGGGGAGCCTGCCGAAACTCCTCAAGGGGGAGCACAGCGACGCCTGAAAATACAAGGTCATTTAGTGATGGCGGCAAATTTAATATAATATTATAATGAATAATAGGTTTGTTCTGGTTCTCAAAATGAAAACTGTTTTGAAACTGCGCCGGACCGTATGCGTAAAGGCAAAAAATCCCCGACTGTTTGAAATTGTTGGAAAACCAGAACACGTCATAAAGGTGTTTTGTTTATTGTTTATTATAATAATGAAGTTCCTTTTGAAAGCTCAGCTTCAAATAACATTTGCATGTATATGTTTACCATTATCATCACATTTCAATGGAATAAATAAAAACAGAATAATATTAAAAAATTAATAATTCTAAAATTGCTTTATTTTACAAATAAAACAAGAACAAGAGACATTCGTCCACATATAAATAAACAATTTGGGATTGTATACGTTTCGTATAGTCTAAAAAGCTAATACAATATTCATAACACTTCAAAAACGCATGCGCGGTCAAAACAGTCCGAGTCGATCCACACTCCCAAGCATGAACACTTTTTGACTGTTTACAACAATCACGGATTATTTCGGATACGAAACCAGAACACTGGACTGAGAGATCCGAAGTAGTCCCAGAAAAACCAGAACACTTTTTATCTACTGCGCATGAGCCCGACAGTTGTGGATCGTTATTTCTCAAAACCAGAACAGACCTAATGTGCCCGAGGTGTCTGTATTATTACGGTCAACTGGTTCTCATTCTGTTGGAATTTATTTTTAACCGACTTCAAAAAAGGAGAAGGTCCTCAATTCGTCGCAATATTCTTTTTTTTTTTTTTATTCTTTTTATGTATGTTTCAGCGATAATTCTTTAACACTGTGTCCGATTTCTATGATTCTTTTTGTTTTAGAAAGGGAGTACTTCAGGGGTGGTCCCATATAAATTTGGTCAAAATCTAATAATTGGGTCCATGAACAAATTCTCACTCTTCATTTTTTGTATGTTTAGCGATAATGCTTCACCACCTTGTCCGATTTATATGATTCTTTTTTTGTTAGTAAAGTAGTACCTCAGAGGTGGTCCCTTATAAATTTGGTTAAGATGTGGTGATGGCATCTGCACGTTTTTGAAGTCGGTTTTTTTAAATTTTTAATTTCTAATACTTGTCGTAAAGCGGTATTACAATGAATTTTAATTAGAGCGACTCGAGGGGCGACTGTCCTTAAATGATAGTTTTTGAGCTCCTAAGTCAAACACGTCAGTTACAGTTTACAACTAAAAATAATGATCTTATTAGGGGACCGGCACATTACTGTTAGAAACTTTCAATCAACTTTAAAGATTAGTGTGATAGCAATTAACACTATTCCACACAAACATTCAGTGCTGGTTTAAGGTATTTTTGCGTCCGGTGCTACTTGTAACCCAGGCAGCACAAAAATATTACATGAATATTCAATGCATATCTCAACTGCAAACTCCTATATTCCATGGATATGCCATATCCGCCATGGCATATGACAGGAAGATTGCAGGAATATTCAAGGTCACCATGAAACATGCCTACGATATGTTTTTATCTGCCAAAATATATGCATGGCATATTCTCTGGATTTACTGAGGATATCTATGTATGCCTATATTCATGGTATTTTAAATATTCATGGCATATTCAAATTTTTTTTGTAATGCGGTACCGCATCGTTTAGAAAATAAAACCCATACTTAAATACAAAATAAATTTTATTTGAAAAATAAAGCAAATTTTCAAAAAATAAAAACAATACGTACATACAAAAAACTGAAAATTTTATTTTTTTTGCTGAGGTTCTTCACGTACTTTTCTCCTAAAAAAATGATATATAAGATATGTATTATATATGAGATTTTGATGCTTTTAATAATAAGTGTTAGAATTGAGATGAAAATATCAGTCAAATAGAAATATTTCAAAATCTTGAGACAAACATTACAGTAATACTTCTATAGTATCTTTAGGTCACTTTATTTATAGTATTTGCTTCCTCCACATTTTCCGTTGGCATTTGCGTACTGTGGTTTTTCCTACATATCTTGAAAAAACAAAAATAGGATTACATAGTGCCTTGTCTGCAATTTTATTTCAAATAGTCTATATTTTGATTTCCTCTAAAAACTTTTATAATGATCAGTTACTTTATTACTAACAATAGGTAATTCATTAGCCTTAGATGTCTTTGAACTAATAATATCCTTTACAAAGAGAGAAATTGAAATAAACTCAGATTCTTGAATTTTACATGTTTTTTTTCTGGTGAAAAGAATAATGATATTTCCTCGGAAGATTCAGTAAGAAGCTTACATTTCACATTCATCTGAAGCTGATCTGAAGCTAATGCTCTATCATTATTTGAGATCAAAAGAGACTCGTCTACCAATTGATTTACACTTCTTATAAAATATATATTCATATTTATAATTTTAAACACCTAACTGATACTACAGGACCATATATTATAATTAATCAGACTTACCCCTTAGGTGGGTATATCGTAAGACTTACCTGTAAACAAACGAAAACTCCATCACATCTCTCGCAAATCTGACAATGTTTGGTTATGTGTTATATTCTTCTTCTTTTTTATTAGTAGCCTTCACCGTTTAGAGTATTTAGCCAGGGTATCATGGATAAAAAATATTACGTAATTAGTAATTTATACATACCTATGAGATTATTGAATTGGTATATTATGTAAAAAAAAGATTACAAAATCCAATATTATTATATTAAATAAATACGATTCACATTGAGAAATTATGAAAAAAGTCCATCCATGGAGACACTATATTGTTCTTTAGGCGAGTTCGGATAGTCAGGGGCTGGAGCGGGACAAAAGCGGACTTTTTTAGGGTGCTTTTAAATGACATTTAAGCGTGTTAAACTATCACTAATCGAACTAAACGGAACGCTAAGAGGGTCGTTTGGAGTAAAAAGTGTTAAAGGAGTTAAAGGAACGTAGCAGACCGAACGCAATGTTCGTGTAATGTAATACAGAGAGGCTGAAATTGAGGTTTTAGTAAAATCTCAATCGAGACATGAAAATTTCAAATAAAACAAAATATTTATATAAATTTATTATTAAAATAATCTTGAAATAAGTACCAATATCACAAACGCAATTACACATGAGCTATAGTAGAACCTTCCTATAAAGCACTGAACAATTGGACAAAATTAGCTAAATAGTATAATAAGGTACCAATATTGCAAAGGTCCACTAAAATCTTAAATGATGAACGATTGTACAAAAGTATATTTATATAAAGTATGTTTTAAAGGTTCACAAGATTTTTACCAAGATGGCAATTGTACAATGCTAAAGCTAGATCGGTGAATAATAACAGGCGACTGCAACAATGACTAGGTACATATTATACTGATTTCTTACCTGTAGACGCAGAGATATATCATCTTTTTAAGTCAAGCCTTTTAACTTTTTTTTGTATAAATATGTACCTATATTTTTATTTTGTTAGTTTATTATTTATGCGAAGGTGATAAATATTCTTTTCTTGTAATCATATGTGGCTTGGAAATATTTTTATTTATGCTATAATGTAACAAAGTTTCTATTTCAAACGGTTCAAAAGTTATATTATTTTTAATGAACAAACATTTTTTGCGTGTTATTTAAAGGGGAAATTTCAAATTGAGCTAACAATTTTTCTCAATGGGAGATTTTGTTTTTTCATCATAGAGACCCTTTTAAGACCATAAATTCGATAGATCAGTCATTTTGGCTTATCCTAAATTGACCAAACTATCTTCAGAGTAGATTAGAGACTACTCGAGCTGATTACTTCTGCCTATGATGGCTTGCCTCGGTATATTTAAAATTTATATTGTTTGAATGTTGCATTTGGCGAGGTATTTTTGAATTGTTACCCTACTAATTATAATGGAAACTATTTTTGATATCAGTAATGGTTTGTTTATTTGTAGTTAGTTTGAACTACCTACAATACTTTTATATTCTATTTTAATTAACTCTATGGTTCATATGCTCGAAGTATGGTCCTAACTATAACTACTTCGAAAAAAATGAGTAATATAAAAAATATATTATCGTAAAGCAGCCCTGTAACATTATAATGATCCTTAAAGCTATCAGAAATATCATAACAATTAAATACTTGATAGTATTCCATAAGAGTAGGTATATTATTTACTAGGATTATTAATATTTTATAGTGTTTACAACAT